GTCCCAAAATGCTAGGAGTAGCGCTGACGTTTCCATTGAATTTCACATAAAATTGTTTTCCCAAAAAGGTATTCTTAACCTTTTGCATAGCTACTTTCATAGTGAGTGTGAAAGAAAAACCAAATAAAATAATAAAATCGAAAGTTAAGTATTGGTTAAATGCGGTTGCACTCTCATGAATTCTCTAGTTATCCTTATATTAGTGGCACGCCACCAAGGCAATTGGAAAACTAGTGGGCTTAGGTGGCATAGCGGGTTGTCTTTGTGCAGAAAAAGGAATGCTAATTTTAGTAAAAGCGTCTATATTCTGTCTCAGGCATTGCTGTATTGTCGGAAACAAGAGTATGCTGCTTCAAATACCATCTCGGCTAGTAACCTTTGAATTATAGATAAAAATCCATTGGTTAAGCATTTCGCTTTCTCATTATAATGAATTTAATCATCAAGCAAGCTATTAAAATGCTAAATTTAAATATCTGAAATGAAATTCGGGGCGTACGAATGGTGAATACTATTGTCCCCTCCAATCTACCAAACTTGAAATGGGTTTCGACCGAAATATATACGCCGAATCTGTCTGGATAAAAGGAATCATATTTTTACAAGTAAAATTCTACAGTTTTTCTTCAGATCTTGTTTATTTTTCAAGACTAACAGAAATTATTTTATACGAGTTGCCTTACGGGGATTTATGGCCTAATAATTGAGTGTACCAACAATTAAATGATTCGGTTTCTTTGTTACTAGTGAATGTCAGCTAGCCTTGCCTCCAAAAAGAACATTTCACCTTGAATAAACGGGACTGTAGTTTCCCCCTCGCCGGGATTGGTATCATCAAAATCCCCAGAGGGACTCGATACCGGGTCGTGAGTATCGTGGCGATGCTACCGCTCCACTAATCTACACGACCCCGGGTGCCAGTGGGTCATAGGGAAGATGCGACAATCAGACCAAACCAGACATCTCCAAAAGCAGACAGATGAATGCGATTCACGGATTCATCGGGGTCGCAGGACGGTGCTTCGAAGACTAATTAGCTCAAAGCTACAGTTACTACCGTAACTGTAACCTTGTTGGCTTCCGGTGTGGACAATTTACTAATCCTTTCCATTTGCTTCTTCAAATAAGACAATCTTCGAAATTCAGCTTCTCTTCATATACTAATTTGCTGTGTCAGATTGGTAGCCAAAGATGAAGAGTATGACCAGTTCCCCCATGTGGTATCCAAATGAACCATTTTGAAGCCATTATAAACCTTTTAAATGTTTATTGCGTGACTCTAGCAACCTTAGCCCTTTCCTAAGTTGCAAATAGGTAAAGAGGGCCACCACTAGGCTCTAAAGATCTTCCACTACAAGCATTCTTTGCGAGTCAAAGGGTATCAAAATGCTATTCTCACGGTAGTGAGTAAAATATTTTTTTGATAAGGCATTATTTAATATTTGAAGACCAAGATGTTGTGGCATCTGCTATGGTCGCAGTCTACTTCGATTTATAAAAGTGGGTTGACCTCGTTGTCGCAACTTGGTCTTGTTGTTGTCTTGAGTTCGTAGCTTGGTGCGGAGAATGGCAAAAATGACTGATGATGTCGACTACGATGCCAACGAAACGTTTGAGAATGTATCAAGTCCACTGTCAGATGCTGGGAATCATGACAACTACTCTGGCAGACGAACGTTCTACATAGTCTCCCTGACAACAAGACCAAGTTGCGACAACGAGGTCAACCCACTTCTATAAGGCATTATTAAATTCAATTTGAGAAATCTAATCGTAAATTTAACGATCTGGTAGAACTATTATGGAGGCGATTGTTGTCGAGTAAAATACCCCCGAAAAATTTCTGTAAATTAATTAACAATTGCTTAACCCTATTAGTTGGGCTTCTCAATGCGTTGTGTAGTTCTGGTATTCTGAGGCCTAATCATCTTATTGTTGGAAACCTGAACTACCAGTTCTTAAATCGTCTCAATCGACCTTGGTTAAGTTTTCATTCAAGAAATATGATAGTCTCGAATTTTGCTTTTATCAAGAATATGTGATCTTTCTACATTCCTTAAGTAAGTTGTCTGGCTCTTAGCCAGGCCTGCGCGAACCTGTACATGCACGGGTGCTTGGCGTGTCCAACGGAGAGGAAATCCCGACATTTCTCTGTGCCTCATTTAGATATTTGGCCCATTCGTAAACAAAGGCAGTCTAAAAAACACAAGCAATCGCTTCGACAAGCCCCTCCTGAGGCTCGTGTCGGCGATGTAGCAGTGGGTCTGGCGTTATCTGCCCCCTCTGGCAGTAGTCAGCAGGACAACAACTTCAGACAGACTCCATATTTTGCTCGATTCTGCCATCAAAAACACATTAAAACATATCATGAAGTGACGCTAGCCTTCGTTGTGAAGACAAAAGCAGCCAAGCGTTTGACATAACTACTTTGTCGTTATACCGCTTGTTGACACCCAATCAACGCAATGGGGATCACAAATTCTGCCTAGTTCACTTTCTGAAAAAGTCTTCTATGCTTATTTCCAGAGATCGCCTCCCAATAACGAAGCAAGGCAACAAATTATCTCTTTCTTTGCGCTTAAATTTGGCAAACATTGATCTTTTCTTGCATTACTTGTTGCCACAACGACGACATTTACCGGTTAGATGTGCACTAACAGGGAGCGCAGCGGTTCCCGTTGAAGGGATACACAAACGAAGAGCTGTCGATTTTTATCTGGATCCGATAATGCTTCTTCCCTCCCGACAATCGATGCGCATCTTTGGTTTCTTAAACACACCAACCCTTGTCTAGACTAACAGAAAGGTAGGAATGCTTTCAGGCACTTGAGACAGTTTTTATTATCCAAGGTTTGCCAAAGTCAGCCTGGCCCAGTCTGCAGTGCTGCAGCTTTCTTTACAGATTAGAGAAGTTTTTCGGTGCTACGTCAATCGAATTCTTTGATATGAATAAAAGCTGGCCTGAGAAAAATCCTCAAATGATTTAGTGTGAATCGAATCTTCACATACAAGCATCAGTATTCTGGCGGGGCTTCGTTAATTGACCTCACCGTAACGTAAAGTAGGATTGAAGAACGTCGGATTGTGCTAAGAATTCTTTGGCTCCTCATCTTGCGACTCCGATCTATCCGTTTGTTATCTTGACAGAAAGTCAAATCAAGAAATCATAGCCTAATAAATACTGTATCATTGTACTCAACCATAATTGTACTAATGTGGTTTTGCGTAAACTATTATTTCTCGAATTGACGATGTCTGTCACGGCAACAAAGCCGAAAGCCCAGCAATGATAGTTCGGAGGCACAAGACGACGAGCCATAGATTTCCTTGTTCAATCTAACATTCTTCAAACATACTTCACTCTCCGATGAGGTCAATTGATGCAACCCTACCAGTCGACATATCCTTCTAAATGAAGACTTCTATTTTCGGCGGAGCATGTCGCCTGAATGATTTCAGTCCTGATTTGGCCATTTCAATTTTACAACGGAAAATGGAGAAGGCTAAACCTCACTCGCGAAGGACTCGGCAGCCCAGAAAAAGATTAAAGACAGACACTTCGTCTTCGTCTGTTTATACCAGAATTGACAAAAGTGAATTTATATTTTGTGACATTACCTTCCATTTCGAAAGAGAATTTGGTTGGAAAGAATTCGTGATGTAGTCTCGAGGTCGCAGGATGGTGAGCCGAGGACTTCTTCGCACAATTCAACAGTATTCCCTACGTGACAATCTTCTTCGGTTTCCAGGGAGACAACATCACGAATTCCTTCCAATTAACTTTTCCTTCAAAATGGAAAGTCATGTTATAATATAGCACTAAGGAATTTGTCAAAATCCAGTTTTTCTTTATAATTTGTCTTTTGCCTCAAGCAGACGAGGGTACTCTGAACAAAAAGCTTGTAGAAATCTTTGCGATTTACACAAACCAGTATTAGGTCCTTTTATATGCAGAAGTTTTACCTCAAATTGTGTGTGTGGTCAACAGTGTCGGCGCAAGAGCTGCATTCTTTTAATTTCGTTTACGGTGATGAAGGACAGATATATGAATTTTCCTATTTTAAGTGGGTTTCAACTCTACGTGTAGATTTTTTATAAGATCTCCATCTACTCCTTTTCATTTCACGTGATGAGGGACTGTGTACCTGCTGAGCTGAGCCTAATTTCATGTGGAAAGGGCGATAATGTGTTTCTTGCAAGTTGACACATTTAGAAGACAGCGCTGAATTACCTGCGGTTTACT